GCCAATTGTCAATGTATATGTTTTGTAATTCGCTGTTTAAGTTGTAAATGGTGTCAATTTCGTCGAACGGTAAGTCTAAGTCGTTCATTTCCTCTAAATCTAGGTCTACCACATCTCCCCTTAGGGCATCTACAAGTATAGCGTTGGTGTCAACATTAACGTTACTGTCGTTGTGAGGTGTCTTTAGACGTTTGTTTGATGTTTCGTCATAGGTCCTTTGTCTCTTTAATTGTATAGGTAGGTTGTCTGTTTGTCTGTCGTTTGCTGATGGAGGTTGTTCAGTTTGTCTGTCAGATGTTAATGTCGGTTGTTCAGTTTGTCTGTCAGATGCTGATGGGGCATCGGTTGGTGTAAGTGGATTGGTGTGTGCTGTGGTGGTGTGTCTTTTTAAATTGTCAATTCTAGTGTACATTTTGCCGCATTCGGTGCATGGATATTTTCCTCGGCCATGTGCAGTAGCTTGGTGCCTTTTCAAAGTGTCACTCCTGTTGAACACACGTGGACAGGTGGCGCATTCGTATCGGTTCATGGTTGAGTGACTGGCTGGATGGGTGGCTTGCATCTCAGTCTGTCTGTACAAGTAAGAAAGAAAAAAGAAAAAAAAAAAAAAAATAAGCGTAAATAAAATTAAAGTAAATATATTTGACAACTTATTTAAAAATAAATAAGACGTAATTAAAGGGTATAAGCGTATTTTATATTAACAGGGTTAATTCGATTAAAATTTATCAATAAAATAAATAAAATAAATAAAATAAACAGTATTGAACTTACTTTTTTTAATGTTAATGTCTAAGCCGGCTTGAGAGCTGTCAGTCGGAGGGTTGGTGTATGTGGGTGGTTCGGCTGGATATGGGTGGGTTGGCTTTTTGGCTAGTTCAATGGCTTGTTCAGTGGTTAGGATTGACTGTATAATAAAAAATAAAACGAATACCTGTGACTACTTATTTTAAAAATTAAAGATATAATTAAAGGGTAAAAAATAAAGTTCCCTTTTCAAAGCTGCTGGTATATAGGACAAGTGCAGTAGAGTTCACTTGTTTCTGTAGCCTCAGTATATGAAGTGGTAATGTGGTCAGCACTATTTACTTTCCCTAACGTAAGTCAAGACAACAAAAGTACTCAGGGGTGATTTACTGTCTTGAGTCCGGATTCGAACTCGTAACTTACAGATTAACATTAAAGCAAATACATTCGACTATTAATTTAAAAAGATAAATAAGATTTAATTAAAAGGGAATAAACGTATCTTCATTAGTAATATAATGGCTGGGTTGGGTGTATATTACAAATTAAAGCGAATACATTTGACTACAAGAAAATAAATAAATAAAATTTTATTAAAGGGAATAAACGTATCTTTATATTCGCTGAGTTAACGCCCTTAAAAGAATATATATATATATATATATATATATATCTATATATATATATATATATATAAGAAAAATAAAAAATAAAAATATTATCCTTACCTTAGGGCTGGATGATGTGAATGTCTAAGATGAAGTGAGCTCGGTCCGTAGTAGGGTAGCTGATTCGATGAGTGCGGAATGACAAAGTATGCGGTCCGTAGCAGTATAGTTAGTTCAGTGGACGCGGTATCACAACGTATGTATTCCGTAGCAGGATGGCTGGTTGGCTGGACGTGAAGATGAGTTGAAGTCTTGAGAAGTAGTGTTTGAAGTAAAATTTCGTCTGAATTTATACTTTATGAACGCGTGGGTCAATTATGCAGGCGTGGGTAACGCAGATGTGGAGGTCGTTGAACTCTACTGCAATCCTTGGTTTAAAAAACAAAAAAAACATAAAGCCTCACTATGAACGCGTGGTCTAATTATGCAGGCGTGTGTCACGCAGATGTGGAGGTCATTGAACTCTCCCTCCGATCCTTGGTTTAAAAACAAAACATACCTCGTCACCTGCTTGATACATAAAATCAAAAATCTAATTTCTTTATATCGCCTGTTTCACGCTTGCGCAGTGAAACGAGTCGTCCCTTTGGACCAAGACGCGGTCGGGTTTTCAAAGCCTATTATCCGCCCCTCAGCTACCCATACAATGGGTATTGTCCTCACAGAATACAATGGGCGGTCGACGCGTGCCCGTGTTTCGGTTGTGCGTGGAATTTGTAAACATTACTACATGCTAAATTTATTCAAAATTCTATACGCAGACACCGCGGGTGTAAACAAGGGGAAGGGTGGAGCGGGCCATTGTGTACTGCATACCAGGATTGACGGGCGCGTGTTTTAACACTTACGATTGGTCCCGAGTTTAGTGCCGTAATTTTTATCGACTATTCTATAAGCAGACAACGCGGATGTTTATACAAAGGTTATTGACCTCACAGAATACAAAAGAAGGTGGTCGCGTGCTGCATCACCCGCGATTTCAGGAGGTCGTTGAACTACACTACTAACCGTTCGCGGTTTATTTTGTTTTTGATGGAGCTAGCCTAAAACTTATTCTTCACCCTTTTTTCACCGTCACCGGCTCGACAATATATTAACGATCGACTTATATCACGTTTAACACTTGCACTTATTGGGACTACTTATAAACGTTTATTTCCGCGCTTTCAAGATGTCTAGTGAAGATTGGATACTTGTGGCCAGGAGTAGTAATAAAGTGACGGAAATACGAACGACGAATGACAGTGGTTATAAAGTAGCTATCGTTAGTCAATTCATGAACAAAAACACTTTAAATCTTAGAGATCTTATGGATGGTACAGATCTTAAATTTCCTAATAATTCTGGAATTAATCTCTCTCGTGTAGCCTTTGAACGTTTACTCGCCCTGAGATATGATATTTTAAAAGCGTTTGATGACTTGGAGAAAGTTGAAATAAATTCATAAAATATAAGAAGTCTTTTGTTGTGATATAAGTTGTGTGTAAGTTGTGTGTGTGTGTGTGTTTGTGTGTAAATAAACGCCAGCCATAAACACAACAACCAAGTAGAAACCAGGAAGGGGGCAATAACCGCCCCGGCTGTTGGCACGTGTTGTATCTCTTTATATTAAGACGAGTAGAATTCGACATCCACCAGGCCTATTCAACAAAGATTTTATACGGTCAACATGTTTAAACATGACTTTAAAAAAATCGATAGTAAAGGCGCGTGAGTTGGATTAGACAATGGGGTACAGCACCTGCCTTTGAGTATGACGCAAGTAGCGGCACACAAAAGGACATGCTCACACAGACTTCAGACAAAGGGAGAATGAGATTGCAACACACAAAAGGGAAGGGGTACCACCTGCTACCACCTCCCCCACCCGCGTCACCCCCACCCACACCCTCACTGGAGGGTGGTGAAATACTATTTTACTATATACTGTTAAAGCCGGACTGTCGTCCAGGTCAATAAAAACAACCAATAACTGGTCAAGCGGTCAACAACCGATAAACTGATCATCTGGTCAACTACTGGTCAGTTGGTCAACTGGTCAACAAATGTATAACACCATTAATAAAACAATAGCTCAATTGGTCAACTACTAGGTAACCTAACCCTCAATACAAACAAATCAATAGGGGAATCCACCTCCACCTCCACCTCTGACCAACCCGTGGTCAAGTGGTCAATTGGTCAACATACCGATCAAAACAATAACCTACTAGTCAAAATAATCAACAGTTGGTTAATGAACAATCAACAACGGGCTAAAAAATCAATAGTTGGTCAAAAAAACAGGGACAAAAAATCAACAGGTGGTCGAAAATCAATCAATAACGGTCAAAATATGCAACAGGTGGGCAAAAATCAATCAATAACGGTCAAAATATGCAACAATTGTCCCACCTCCACCTCCACCTCCGCCTCCACCTACTTCCACCTCCACCTCCACCTCCACCTCCACCGCACCTCCACCTCCACCTCCACCTCCACCTTTTGCGACCCAAAGGGGACCTACTATACTACTAATAATTCAACTCACGCTAATTTAAAATATGGCGGGAGTAATCTCCCCTAAACGTTCTCGAATATTCTTATATAACACTACGGGGGGGGGGGCGGCAACTTGGGATATAGACAGGATTTTAATTTATTTTTCAATCCGGCATCCCGACGGGTTGCTATTTGGTACCCCGGATCTTCCTGTGAGCGCTGTAGTGCCTTCGTTTGTTTCAAACAGTGTGATAGGCTATGGATAAGAAGGGTTACTAAAGTCCTTCACAAAATCGAATCCAGTTCACCCCAACAGATTGCTATTTGGCGCCCCAGGCCTCCCCGTGATCGCTATAGCGCCTACGTTCGTTTAAGAGAGGGCAATAGACTATGGATAAGTTGCGGTATTATAGTCGTTTACAAAGTTGAATCAGGCGGTTCCGCTGGGGCGCCGGCAGGGTGCGATTTGGTTTCCCGGGCTAAACTCTGATCACTATGTGGTTATGTTTGCATTTATGTTTTGCTTTATTGTTTGCGTTTAGGTTTATGTTTATGTTTACGTTTGCGTTTTCGTTTGTATTTTTTTGCGTTTTGCATTTGTGTTTGCGTTTGTGTTTGCATTGTGTTAGTGTTTGCGTTTTCTCTCGAGTTTGTGTTTGCGTTTGCATTGTGTTTGCTTTTGTGTTTGTGTTTTCGTGTGCCTTTTTTGTGTTGGCGTTTTCGTTTGTGTTTTTTCTTTTGTGTTTGTGTTTGCGTTTGCGTTGTGTTTGATTTTGAGTTTGTGTTTGTGTTTGCGCTGTGTTTGCGTTTGTGTTTTCTTTTGTGTTTGTGTTTAGCTTTGATCTGTTCAATAGTTGCTACATTTAAACTTATAACTTGTTTGAAAGCATGAACCTCCAATGCACCAAGATTCTCTATTTAAAAAAGAATGAAATAGTTGTAATTATTGTGTACATATGTACATATTTTGTGGCTAAATTGAGTGCTTTATTGATCTTCTCTCAACTCCATTGTGTGACATCGCATTTCCGCCCTTGGTTTAATTTTAAGCAGGTTGTGAGCGGTTAGTCCACCCCGCGCGTAGACAAGCTCTAGTCACTCATATTCAGAACACCAACGCAGGAGAAAGCTATAAACATTGTGTAGTCAAAATGTGCCGCTTGATGAAAAAGTGCCTTACATTTACACTCACAGCTTGTATTGTCCTTGCAGGTGAGTGATACTTCGCATTATGACAGGTTAGTGAAACCTTATGACAGATCTCTGATAAAAACATATGCTCACACCAAGTATTGATGGCCTCATTTAGTAGTGTTTTCTGTCCATATTGAATATATTTTGATAAAGTTCTACTTTCACTTTCGTTGATGTAATATACCAATTTTGTAATGTATTCAAGCGAACCAAAATTATTATTTTAATTCAATAATTGTCAGTCCTTCGCTATAAATTATGATTAACGATTTCCCAATTTCTTTTTTTTTTAAATTCAGAAACAGATGTTGAGTGTGCCAACCAAGTGCTGTGTATTTTGAAAAAATATTGCGTGTCCGTTCCAGGCCCTCTGATACTTGATATGATACATGTTGATGGTTACTGCGCGTAAATAGCTTTTCTCACTTTTCTAGTCCGCTTATTTTCAATATTTCTAAATTCAGCTACAGCGAATTAATTATTCTATTATTTTCTCTTATTCTCTTATTTTCTTTTTTTTTGTCCCATGGGAAGCAATAACATTTTTGAAAAGTATGAAACAAAATTTACAATTCTGAATCGTTTTACCGTTATGTTTAGTTTTCTAACAAAACTTTTTTTTCCCTTAATCGTAAACGGAGTAAAGAGGACGTGTTTAAACCTTGAACACTTTTCACACCTTTATGGCTTGGAAAACTTCATATATAAGTATTAAGGGTCGTCCATAAATGACGTCACACTCGTAGGGGGAGGGGGGGGGGGGGTCCGTAATTTTGTGACGGTGTGTGGTGAGGGGGAAGGGGGGTGGTCGGTGGTCCGTAATTTTGTGACGGTGTGTGATGAGGGGGAAGGGGGGGGGGTTCAGATGGTGCGACGTCACACTTTTGCATTATAGAAAAGCAATGTTAGAAAACGTGTTTTAGACGTTATTTCGCGTTTTAGAAAACTCTTTTAATAAATTTTAATAGGAATTGATCAAAATACTCTATTTTGACAGAGTTCAGACAAGATTTAGAAAAAATTTCGATGTTTTAAAAAAAAAATCAACTGAAATTTTGAGGGGTGGGGGGTTGTTGGCTGAGGTGTGACGTCATTTTAAGGGGGGGGGGGGTCTGGCTTTTTGTGACGATGTGTGACGGAGGGGAGGGGGGAGGTAAAAATCGTCCAAAAAAGCGTGACGTCATTTATGGATGACCCCTTATCTACAATTTGTTGATTTCGATAAATTTGTAATGAATCTATTCATACCATTATGGGTTATTAGTGTCATATTTTACTTTGTTGTACTGTATTCACAGTATATCGGTGACTCAGACCCCCTACCGGTTGAAATATATACTGTAGTTACTGATTGTTATTATTATAAACGGTACAATTATGCTCTTGACTGTTGTCAACTTTAAAACGAAAGAGGTTAAATTAGCAAAAGTAAAGTTTAGTTCTAGGGTTATTTAAGTTAGATATTTAGCTTTCTATCTATGCAAAGCCAGAATGTATTCCCGTGTTCTACACTGTATTATTACTAACACAAATTTCAAAACAATACAAAATTGTAATGATCTTTTTTTTAAATTTTATTATACAAAAATTGCAATGTTTAAAATTGAACAAGCGTATTTTGCCGACCTTGCAATTTTTGGATTGTTATTTTTATTACTTGTTTTATCGTAGCGACATAAAAGATGTGAAAACATGTATGGGGTTATGCATGAATGAGAAATGTCCGGACAATCGCTACGAACATTTTTTTATGCAAATGTTTGGTAGAGAAGTAGAAAATTTGTATGAAGTGCTTTGTGGAGAACACGGGGAAAAGGGTATGTAAACCTAGTTAATCGTTTCTTAAGGGTTTTTTAAGGGCTTATAAAATTACAGATGAACACATCTGCATCTGCATCGGCATCTACATTTACATCAACATCCACATCCACATCCAAATCTAAATCTAAATCTAAATCTAAATCTAAATCTAAATCTAAATCTAAATCTAAATCTAAATCTAAATCTAAATCTAAATCTAAATCTAAATCTAAATCTAAATCTAAATCTAAATCTAAATCTAAATCTAAATCTAAATCTAAATCTAAATCTAAATCTAAATCTAAATCTATATCTAAATCTAAATCTAAATCTAAATCTAAATAAAATCTAAATCATCTACAACTACAATTACAACTACAACTATAATGACTACAATTACTACTACAACTACAGCTACAACTACAGCTGCAGCTACAGCCACAACCACAACCACAATTATATTTACATTTACATTCAGATTTGTTTCCACATAACCTACATCTACATTATCTACACTTGCATCATCTCTACGTCGTATACATCTACAACATCTATAACACTCTACAGCATCTATATCATCAACTACATCATCTACTGCATCATCTACAGCTACATCTACAACCTACAACAGTCTTCATCATCTACATCTACAAAACTCTTCATTATCTTCATCATCTAACATCTATCTGGGAGCCGTAAGGAATGAGAAGCAAACGAACACAATTTGAATCTAAAACTATTTTGTCTATCCAAATATAAAATATATTCTACTCATTGTGTGGACGCTGTATATGACCTTAATGATACACAATGTCTGCAGTTATTACAGGACTTTCAAACTGCATGCAAGTTCTCTTTAAAAAGGACGAAAATTTGGAATCATTGCAATCCACTTGTTTAAAGCGGGCAACCGGTGAGTGCCTTGAATCTGATCAGTCACGTAGACTAAGGTAAGAAAAAAAATAATGCGCTGGTCTTTAAATCTTTAAATCTTTGATCTCGTGTTTCTTTCTACAGCATACTATATCAACTTTAGTTTAACTGGCATTTTTGTTTTTATATAGTTGTCGATTTGTAAAGTTGATCGAATGTATCAAAAAGGGATCTCAAACAGTTTGTGGGGAACTCAGCGCAGACTTTTTGGGAAAGGATTTTGCTTTGCATTTGTTTACCAGGTTGTATTGATTATGAGAAACAGATCCAGTAAATTGAGGCTGAAGGCGCTGAAACATATTAATTAATGTAAACTATTGTTTCGTATCTATCGCCTAATAAATTTTTGAACTGTTTATTGTAAATTCAAAAAAATTTTCCACCACTCGTTTGTGTTGTATCTTGTGTAACTAGTTTTGTTTACTTTTATGAACAACACAACTCATGTTTTTTAGGAATGGCAAAGAACTTACATATTAATGTTTAAAACCATGATTCACACATTATTTAAATGATTCAGAAAACGTACCGTAATGCTGAGAAGTTAATGAAGTTAATGATAATTGTTTTAGCGTGCGAATAAATACTAAACCTGACTGTAAAAAGTAAGATAAATGAAGGACAAAATATCGTTAGTCGAAGAATTTCTGAGTGTTAGACAAAATATTGATGAAAATATAAAGCCTGTAGTCTCTATAGGGTCTACAAAACCAAACCTAAACACAAGCAGCGACAACTAGGATACATAAAAATATGACGATAATTTTTTTACTTTCTCGTATAGAGAAAGTATTGTAATCGTGCAAAAAAAAAAACAACGAGATTTTATGGAAATCTCGACGTTTTACACCTCTCTAGTCGGAAAAACATAATTTTGCAATCTTGTCCTTATGTCTGTGTGTGTATGTATGTATGTGTGTGTGTGTGTGTGTCTGTAAACACGATAACTTGAGTACCGTTACAGCTAGGTTGATGAAATTTCATATATAAGTATTATATCAAAGTCGTAGATCCGTATCAACTTTTGATTTCCGATAACCGGAAGTGGGCATTTTTCAACTTTGAATTTTTCAAAAGCCTATAACTAGGGTACTATTTCAGATAGATAAATGACATTTCACATGTAAGAATAAGATCTAATTATCTGCCTTCTGTTCGATTTTGAGTAATTTCCGTTTACCGGAAGTAGTAATTTTCGCTATTTCCGATTTCTCAAAAAAAAAAACGCATGTGAATTTATAAAGTACTAATAATATTGCACACTATTTTGCACATTTTATTTGACATTCACTTGGTGTGCAATTCTTTTTTTTCTACGAGATTTTATTCTGTTTTAAAAAGTTTAAGTATTTAAAATGGATTAAAGATCATGTCTATATCCCGAGTTGCCATCCCCTGTTGTTTTATATAAGAATATACAAGAAAGTTTAGGGGAGATCACACTCGGTTTATTTTAAAAGATTCCGTAAAAAAAGAAAAAAAAACACGGATTATATTGTAAATTGGTCTGACATATTTTTTTTTAAAATAATAGGATTCTGTTACAAGGCCATGATTTAACTATATGTAATGAAATAAAATATCAATAGAGAACTATGACTAAATGTAGGAAATCCTTTCGAACATCGTGGAGATAGTTTATGATTTGACAGTTTTTGTAGTGATGATTTGACACTTAATGTAGTCAGTGTTTCTTTCAGACATTTTTCTCCCGGGCACTTGAAATTTTCGGGGAAGTAGGGGTGGGCGGACACTGTTAAAAGTATTTATTTTCTATATAAATTTCATTTCGTTCGGGTGCGGTAGACTTACTGTGGCAGATTGAAAGTTCACAGTAGTAGATAGAAATTCATATTAAGGTGGTACTTTGGGGTAGGATGGGGGCCTGGTTAGGCTTCAAGTACAATCAATCGATATATGTGGTGGCGCCCATTCCTCTCCATGCCTAGCCACAGCCGGGTGGCTCCATCTAGATGGCTCGACTTTGGTACGAACACATGATCGCTGACGTTCATCTAGGAACTCTTGCGCCCTGGTGTTTCTTCCAGACTTTTTTCTCCGGGGGGGGGGGGGGCTAAAGTTTTCAGGGGGGGGGGGGACTAAAATTTCCGGTGGGCGGACACCGTTAAAAGTATATGTTTTCTGTATAAATTCTGTTTCGTTCGGGGGAGGGGGGGCGGTAGACTCACTAGAGGGGGGGGGGGACGACTGAGCCTCCCCGAAGAGATGCCTGGAAGAAACTCTGACGCCGCGTTAGCACCACCCCCTCACGTGGTTTGGTCCTCTAGCTGAAGCAGTTTGCCGAAGTATGGCGGTTGCGGCCATACGAGGGAGATTTGGGGGATAGTAGGGGCCCAGTGTTGGTTGGCCTGTTAAGTGGTAGTGATCATTTAGATTATTAGGATGTTGTTGTGACTTCTTTAATAAAGGTCAAGTTTTGGTTTTGAATAAACTTTTATTTTATTTTGAAAGCGTCTGTTAAAAAAGAAAACTATATTATTTTAAAGTTTGGGGCATGTGTTTTTTTATTTAAAAAAATAAACTGGGTTGTTGTTAATTTAGTCAGTAACGTTCCCTTTCTAACCTGGCGGTCCATGGGGCAAGTGAAGTAGAGTTCACCTGTTTCTGTTACCTCAGAAAATGAAGTGATAGTCTAGTCAGAATTAAGCCTAGCCGTCTATACTTCCCTAATGTAAATAAGATATATGGTGTAACGTTAAGGTTTGTCTACCTTTACTGTTCTGTTCAGTTAGGTGGCGTGTGGTGTAAGTGTAATATTTAGGCAAACAGTTTAGGATTCGCGTTGTTTTAGTTTAATGTTAGACTAGATATTTGAGCGAGGTGTAAATAGGTATAGTATTTGAAATTCATGTTGTTGTTTGTTGGTTTTTTTTTGTAAAAACAAACACAGGAAATTCAATATTCTATGTGCGTGATTATGAGAGCATGTGTAAGCTCCCTTCAATTTTAAATTATTTTTTCCTGGATCTAGCCGTAAAGTTATACGACATAAAAGATTTCAGAATATAGCAGAACATCTGTTACATGCATTCCACAATCCAGAATATCACAATACCTTATAGTTTAGCTGTAATCCTGATAAGTTCTTTGGTTTATCTAGATACGAAAAAGAATGCAATCAGCCGATATAAACGATTTTATTTATCTAGTCTAAGTATCACGTTATTGCTAGCAGATAATCGACCCTTGGTAGGTAGGCAGGCAGGTAGGCAGGTAGGTAGGTAGGTAGGTTCGTCATTATGAAATAATAGTAAATACCTCATTGTTATGATGTGTGTTTTATCAGGTATTTTGGTGCGAATGAATGTTGTTACGGAGAGATATGACGAATGCATGTTTGATGACGCGGATGAAAGAGAGTGAAGTTTTGCCATAGGAACGGGTTGTTATGGTATGCAAGCTAGGTAGTTCTTTTCTCTTTGCGCTTTTTTCTCTTTGCGCTTTTTTCTGTGTGCGCTTTTTTCTCTTTGCGCTTTTTTCCGTAAGCGCTTTTTTCCGTTGCGCTTTTTGTTTTGCGCTTTTTTCCGTTGCGCTTCTTTCCGGTCACCAGCTTTATGGATAGGTAAACTATAAATAGAAAAATTTAGCGTGAAATGATAATCCATATCAAATATAGGCCTATTTGTTTGTTATTCACTACGTAGGCCTTATATATATATATATATATATATATATATATATATATATATATATATATATATATATATATATATATATATATATATATATATATATATATATATATATATATATATATATATAATCAATTAGTTTGAATACAATTAAATAATCTTGGTTAATATTCAATTACAAGACCGTCATATTTTGCTATGAATGCTATTCTTAAAAGATTAATGTGCATGAATGCAGATGCACACGTCCTCCTCCCTCCCCCCTCCACCCCTACTATCTTTATCTTTTGTGTACCAACTGCCAATATCTCCACAGGCCCTATCTCGTTCCCTTCTAATTTCCCAGGACGACGCACAGTTGACCTAACTATTCATCCCCCCTATCTCTCCTGTATTATGCCCAGGGTCACACAGCATAATACAGTATACTATAATACAAAACATTACAGTGCGTGCACTACTATACAACACAACACACCAGCGCCCACACACATAGAATACAACTCAGTCAACCAGCCCACCATCACAACACCAACACACACAATAACACAAGACATCATCACAACACCAACACACACAATAACACAAGACACCATCACAACACCAACACCAACACACACAACAACACAAGACACCATCACAACACCAACACACACAATAACACAAGACACCATCACAACACCAACACACACAATAACACAAGACACCATCACAACACCAACACACACAATAACACAAGACACCATCACAAATCCAACACACACAACAACACAAGACACCATCACAACACCAACACACACAATAACACAAGACACCATCACAACACCAACACACACAATAACACAAGACACCATCACAACACCAACACACACAATAACACAAGACACCATCACAACACCAACACATACAATAACACAAGACACCATCACAACACCAACACACACAATAACACAAGACACCATCACAACACCAACACACACAATAACACAAGACACCATCACAACACCAACACACAGAATAACACAAGACACCATCACAAATCCAACACACACAACAACACAAGACACCATCACAACACCAACACACACAATAACACAAGACACCATCACAACACCAACACACACAATAACACAAGACACCATCACAACACCAACACACACAATAACACAAGACACCATCACAACACCAACACATACAATAACACAAGACACCATCACAACACCAACACACACAATAACACAAGACACCATCACAACACCAACACACACAATAACACAAGACACCATCACAACACCAACACACACAAGACACCATCACAACACCAACACACAATAACACAAGACACCATCACAACACCAACACACATAACAACACAAGACACCATCACAACACCAACACACACAATAACACAAGACACCATCACAACACCAACACACACAATAACACAATACACCATCACAACACCAACACACACAATAACACAAGACACCATCACAACACCAACACATGCTATCACACAAGACACCATCACAACACCAACACACACAATAACACAATACACCATCACAACACCAACACATACAATAACACAAGACACCATCACAACACCAACACATACTATCACACAAGACACCATCACAACACCAACACACACAATAACACAATACACCATCACAACACCAACACACACAGTAACACAAGATACCATCACAAAACCAACACATACTATCACACAAGACACCATCACAACACCAACACACACAATAACTCAAGATAACATCACAACACCAACACACACAACAACACAAGACACCATCACAACACCAACACACACAACAACACAAGACACCATCACAACACCAACACATACAATAACACAAGACACCATCACAACACCAACACATACTATCACACAAGACACCATCACAACACCAACACACACAACAACACAAGACACCATCACAACACCAACACACACAATAACACAAGACACCATCACAACACCAACACACACAATAACACAAGACACCATCACAACACCAACATCAACACACACAATAACATAAGACAGCACATTTCATAATCAGATGCCTACAATACGTAACCAGGGAGGCATATTTAATAATGTTGCCCAACCCCTTGCTTTGTCTACCCCCCCCCCTCCCGCAAGAGTTCCATGTTCCCCCTTCCCAACCGATCCCGACCCCCAACACTTTCGACCCCATAGCGATTGACCCTATGTCCTGTGACTCAGTCACCTCCTTAATAAGAGTAATAATTATTTATTGGTAGAACAGGCTGCGATGTAATTTAGTGATAAACAACATAGACCACATTAAAAAAAAACACATTTCCGTAAATATATTGGCTTTTATTAAAAGCAATTTCAAATGTATTCGTTAAAAACCATCATGATGTTTATTAAAATAAAAAGCCGATTTGTTTGTGTGTGAGCTTATAAAAACAATAAACCAGATTTTCTTATAGCATAATCAAGAACACAAAATGTTAAAAGTATAGGCCTACTGGGCAGTGGCGTAGCCAGGAATTGGTCATGGGAGGGGTTCAAATATTTTCCGTATGTATAAAATCATATATATATATATATATATATATATATATATATATATATATATATATATATATATATATATATATATATATATATATATATATATATATATATATATATATACATATATATATATATATATATATATATATATATATATATATATATATATATATAACCCCCCTTGCCTACGCCACTGATACTGGGGAACATACGCAAGCACATACAACAGCTGTTAGACCTAAATAGGAATTTTAACAACTTGAAAAATACATCACTAGCGCCATTTTTTTAAACTAATAATTCACATTAATAATTCACTCATCACTCACACTATGGTGCTGCTATACACTCATCACTCACACTATGGTGCTGCTATACACTCATCACTCACACTATGGTGCTCCATTCACTCATCACTCACACTATGGTGCTGCTATACACTCATCACTCACACTATGGTGCTGCTATTCACTCATCACTCACACTATGGTGCATTATGCACTCATCACTCACACTTGTCGATCCTATTTCTCTCCAACACACACATCAAATCAATTTTGTTAAGTACGAGAATTGCAATATAAATACATATTAGTACAAAAAAGTGAATGGCTTACAAAAACCACATATATCACATTTGAAATAAAATGAGATCAAATATCCATCTACAATCATTTTAAGTTCAAGGGTCAGGGTCAGTTGTAGGCTACATGTTTTAAAACAAAAATACCATATGTTGACCGAAATTAGACAGTATTTTAGAAAAAATAAATTGAAATATTGAAATGCAAATTTTTCTTTTTTTTTTTGGGGGGGGGGGTGAATGCTGAGAGATGTGACGTCAATATGGAGGGGGGGCCCTCATTTTTTGAAACGAATTGTCACGGAAGGGGAGGTAAAAATCGTCCAAAAATGTGTGACTTCATTTACGTATGACTACTTAGTAGATTAGAATAGCTACAATGTCAATGTTGCCATAGCGCTGTGTTTCAGTACGGTCAATATATTTCATCATAGTGCTGGGTGTAGCCTTATGTAGAAATACCAGCGTTACCTCAGTTGTAGTTTTTGCTTATCTGATTCTATAAATGTCTACTGTTTATCTAGTATTGTTTTTAAACGTATATGTCTTGTATGTATCCGAAATCTCCCATGTGTAAAGATGGCCGCTTGGCGCCATGCTGGTCGTCCATGTTGATGCTGTAGCTACCGGAAGTGGTGGTGCACTGGTCGTCGATGGTCTCACTGGGGTAGGAGTCGCTACTCCGTGAGCTCAGGGGCCGGAACCCAAATGTCTCGCTGCTGTGTTTGATGAACACGCCGGGGAGCGAGGCGATGGAGTGCTGGGTCGAGTCGACGCTGAGGTCGGATGGTAGTCTGGGGCAGAACCGCTGGTGCTGCTTCTGGTGCTGGTGGTAACTGGGCGGGGTGTGGGATTTCCGGCGGGACGGGGAGGTAACTTTGGGGAGATAGGTGGTGTCGTCGTCGGTACCCACGCCGCTGTCGGCGGTGTAGTTGTTGTTGGTGGTGGTGGTGGTTGTCCCGCGGGAGCTCAGACTGCTGAAGTCGCCCGGGTGGCCTGGCCCGGGAATATGGATTTCCCGCCACTCGTAAGGCTGCGGGGAAATTAAAAATTACAAATATTAAAATACGTGAAACAATTATTTTTTGTTGTTGCTTTTCTATACAACAGGAATAAAGACACTTTAAAAATGTTTGTTATGTACTACAATACATTCAAGTTTTTGTCTATGATTGGGAAAATCTGTTTGAAATTTAACCTCAGATTAATAATTATTTTCAGAAACGCAAAACATACCTACAAAACAGAGGCGTAGCGACACTTCCCGGCGCCCAGGGACAAACTTTAAATTTAGCGCCCCCCCCCCATATATTTTTATATTTATAATGCAAAACTGCAGCTAAAATGAGCTTTTAATTTTTTTCCAACCCATTTTGGCGCCCACTTATGTATTCCCCCTCGCTACGCCTTTGCTTTAAAAATTCCGTCTAAATATGTTCGTTAAGAATTGCAATAATCCGCCACTACCTACAACATAACATACCACCCACATGATACATCACTCACACACGGGGGGGGGGGGGGGCAGACTTAATTTATAGTTCATTCTTGGGGGGGGGGGGTGACGATCTTCGGGGAGATGCCTGAAAGATACTTTACACACACACACGCACACAACACACACACCACACCACACAAATCCCCCACCTTGCTTGTATCAGCGGGTGTGATGAGCCTCGATTTGAAGCTGCTGATGTGTTGGAAGGCCTGTTGCAGCCTGAGGCTGGTCATCCTGTTGAGTTCCTTGTCGTTCAGGTCTGGCTCGTCTCCACTGACCACGCCCTGCACGGCCTGGCGGATGTCCAGTAGGGCTGGTCTCTGGTACTGGTCAGTCTGTAGACAGAGATCACGTGGTTTTTATCTACCAAGAATAGTTACAATAATAACACGCTATATCTTCTCTATAACAATGCCTACTTATTTACATATTTACATGGACCTATTCTCAGTTTTTGCCCTTGCTATACATTTTATTATTTCTATATCCCACCCCCTCAACCACGCCACCGAATAAGTTTGACAACAATGGTTATTTAGATCTAGCTACTGATAGCCATGAACTGAATCGGATGTTTTCCATAAGATCAGTCTTGGTGGCTTCACAAAATTAGTTTTTAAAAAATGTAATTTTTTTAGTATTAGCTGTCAAGGGCATGTTAATATTTTTTTTAGTATCTATAAAATATCTTTTATCCTCTGTAACATTTTTTTTCTTTTACTATCTGTTATCTTTTTTTTTTTTTACTATTTCTTCTTCGTTTTCTTTTTCATCGTGTCGCGTGCAGGTCACGAGCTGTTTCTTTGTTTACCTTAACCTTGGCTTTACATGCAGAAGTAGCCTTTGACCTGACCTGATGCACATCACCCCCCTCCCCTCTCAACACCCACCCCCACTGGGAAAATACTCGCGAGACAGAACGGGGTATCAAATGACCGTAAGTGTCCGGCTGGCTACTTTTCGCACTATAGCGGTACTGTAAAACTTAAAATTAATACCAACAGAATCACTTTAAGGAGCTTAAAGACGGTTATCTATGTTCAGCAAGTTTATTTGTGAATGAACTTGAATGAAGTTTCAAACTTTAAGATTTAATACACATTCTGAAGACTTTTATTTTACACGTAATTTAGAATTGTATGCAAAATATCGGGGTTAAGATTTTACTGTAAACATTTTTTTTTAAACTGACACGGACGAAAACCACCTGCCGACCGTCCTCAGACTACCCCCACCCCCATCCCACCCCTCACTGTCCTCAATCCTCGCCCATCTGTCGGGTCAGTCTAGCCTGGGTACCACTTGAAGGTCACTCGGGTCAACAGGTAGAGAGAGCCATCACAGGGGACGGGGTGAGAACAAGATTAGACGTACCGGAAGTCGGGAGGGAACTGGGAACTTAGACAACAATCAGCGGGGAAAAAAGTTTTGTGGGTAATTGTCTTGGTACTAGACGTGTCACCCTGCTGGGTTGTGGTCAGACCTAGATTTAACGTTAGGTTGTAAATGTAGTCGGTTTACTTTAAATTAGTGGGGAAGTGGGGTCTGTTGTAAGGTTTAAGTTCAAATGCTAAGCTTATTTTAAGGAAACAACGAGCTTTGATTTGGATTTAGGGTTAGTTTTGAATGAAGATTAGAAAGCCTTAAGACATTTTGGCTAAACATTAACTTCATCATCATCTTCTCCCGTTCGTGCCCAAGACACTTGGGGCAGATGAAGTAGAGTTCATCTGTTTCAGAAAGCTTGGAAATTGAAGGGATAGTTGTCAGCACTATGCCCAGCTGTTGGGTACCCATTAGCGCTGGGTAGACTTTCGGGTTAGCACTAACAGTCTAGCGCTCTACCTCTAAGAATCGTCGTCCTAACATTAACTTGAGTCATTTTATTTTATTTTTAAAAAATAAAGGCTACGTAAATGATAAAATTATTAAACTTCTTTTTTCGAAAATAAATTATGTTGCTTATTGTCGTTTCGAATTTTTTTTTTAAAGTTTATTATTATAAAGTGATGGACGAGGTGTTAAAATAAACTAAACAGGAAAAAAAAAGGGGGGGGGTAGCACTGGGAGGTCTTGACCTCTACGGACAATGCCGTTAACCGGCAGCTGGTCCGGTCAGTCTATGTGAGGCGGAGAATGGAATCGGGTCCGGCTGTTTACATAGAGTGCCGGACTAGAAAACAGACAGCCGTGTGGTGGAAGAAGATCCTAATCGGCCAGGATCGGGTTTCTCCGTTTCTTTGTCATCTCGCGTGAGGGAGATAGAAAAGTTGAAGAAAGGAAGGCGATGTTGCTTTTATAAAAAGGGGGCTGGGTTAATGTAAAGAGAGTTCGCGTGCGACTTATCACCTCCACGCGCTTAACCGGAACTTTTTTTTTTAAGTTTGACCTTTTGTCAAAGAAATATAAAGAGGTCACTGGGGGAAAAAATTAAAATTGACCGCAGGGGTCATGGAAACATTTAACACCAGACCCCCGGATTAAAAATAAAAATTGGTTAAGGCCTTCGGTTTTTTGTCTGGAGAATGATGAAGCCACACCCACTCATTAAAATGTTAACAAACTGGTAAAGTTGATATGGTTTACATAACAATATATAGGAACTACCTAATCAAATATAGTTTTATTTGGTTTTATTTTAACTATCGTGTTATGATTATTTCAACTTCAGGGCAAATTAAATCGTTATTTATGTCGGTATAATATAAATAATTAAATAAACTACAGCCATTTTACCGCCTTGATATTTTGATCAATTTTTTTTACATTTATTTATTAAAAGAACCACTGCGGCTGTCTCAAATCCCCATTCCCTCCCTCCTACAGACACACAGACACAGACACACACACGCACAATCCATCGGAAGACGAAGATTAGTATTTAACAAAGGGAAATCACCGCCCATAGAAAAACAAAGGGAAATCACCGCCCATAGAAAAACAAAAACACCAAAAATAAAATCACATCGCGCCCAAAATTAAAATAACTCGGCATCTAAAAATAAGAATCCGCCCCAAATTAAAGATCACGTTTCTAAAAATTTGTTTTCCCGTGGATTTTATTTAAAAAAAAAAACGAAACTAAATATTGAACGCGCGGCTTGGGAATTCCCTTTAAATTTGCACACCACGGATCTGCGCGGTTGACATTGGGCGAGTGAAAACATTGCACCATTTTGTTTGTCTAATGGCCGTCAAGGCTCGTATTACCAGATAGCTGTGTTAATATTACTTCGAAATTGTGCGTTTGATTGCTAGTTTACAAAATAATAGCACTTAATGATTTTTTTTTAGGGATGGAATAGTCTAGTGGTAGAGAGTTGGACTGCTAACCCGTAAATCTCGAGTTCGAATCCGGGTTCTAGTCAGTAAACCGTCCTTGAGTCCACCCAACCCTGATGTGTACCTAACTCACGTTAGTGAAAGTAAAGGTGGCTGAGCATAGTGCTGACCACACTATTTCTTCATATGCCGAGGTCACAGAAACAAGTGAACTCTACTTCACTTGCCCCATAGACCGTCAGGTTTGAAAATTTAAAAAAAAATTCTATCTCTCATAAATATTTTAATACTTTTTTTCTTTTATTTGGAGTAAATAGGAATGACAGGTAAGGATTTTTTGGCATAGCAGGATTTTATGGCACACAGATAAGATTGTTTCTATCCTGTTGCCTGGGTAACCAAAGAGCAAAAATCTAACTCACCAACTCAGGAAAGTCTGGTCTTTTTTCTGGTGTTTCGTGGTGTTTGGTGTTTTTGATGACATCACTGGTGCCACTATTGTTGTTAGATTCCTGATTTAAAAAAAAACAACAACACATAATTAGACTTATTTTAAAGTCTTCTTGTATTTAATAATGTTTTAAGAAAATGATGATGTTTACATCTAATAAATTTGTTTGCATTTTCCAAAACTTCTATTAATTTTTCAATTGTTTTTTTAACTTGGAAATTCTATTAAAACCAGAAATGTTCTTAGAATACTGTTTATTTTTGTACAAACCTTTTGATTGCTGTATTGGTTTGCCAACGTAACCGCGTTCAAACTTTGAGGAGACAAGTGCTCCCCCTTGTTGTCCAGATACCGCAGTCGCTTCCCCTTGTCCCTTCGCCTCATGACGCAGACGACAAGAACGATAACCACGGCGACAAGCACTGTCCCGCACACCAGCCCCGCGGCAATCATGGCGTTCGTATCAAACCCGTGGACCCGCCCCATTTCGGGACTTATCTGTGGAAAACATCAACATTTAAACAAACGTTGAAGCTAATCAGCAAAGCTGTAACTTTTTTAAACAACGTACATTTCAAAGGCTGATAAATTAATGTGAAGATTATCGGATTTCTACTAGTTTCTTAAGTGTCTGTAATAAAATGTATTTATAGGTCTGGTATCAAAAGTATTAATCTTAATCACCTTTACCCATGCGATGGGACGCGTGACCTAGCGGTAAAGAGCTAGACAGATTACCCGAAAGTCTTGAGTTCGAATCCGGATTCAAGTTAGTAAAATCTTCTTGAGTCTACCCAGCTCTAATGGGTACCTAACTCATTTTAGGAGTTAGGGGAAGTAAAGGCGGCTGGGCATAGTGCTGACAACACTATACCTTCATATTCCGAGGTCACAGAAACAGGTGAACTCTACTTCACCCATTCACCGTCAGGTTCGAGAAGTGATATTTACTGTTTTACCCGTGCGAGACACGTTTAACAAAAGACAATTTCTGATTGGTAGACAAAACATCATCCTTTACCTGCACGTGCATGAGCAGAGAGCGGGTGACGTTGAGCGGATTATCGCCCTTGTCAGAAGCTGTGATCGTCAGGTTGTAGTCCCCGACTTCTGCTTTACCAAAAGTCTTGGCGGCGTAGAGGTCGCCCGTCATGGGGTTCAGTTGGAACAGCTGTGACGCGTTTCCGGGTTGTAGAATATAGGTCACCTCTCCATTCTTAGCCTCATCGGCATCGGTAGCCTAGAATCGTGAATTAAGGAGAATTATAGCAAACCATTTTTATAATGTTTACGGTTTCGCTGCTTAAAAAAATTATTCATAAAAAATTTATTTTTTTTAATGAATAAATACTACTTTTAATTGCATTAATTGAATAGGAGTATGCATATTTTGTTATATATAGCAAATTACGTCAAGTTAAGGGAGAATTTTTTTTTTCTTTTCCAACTTCCCTATTACCCTATTTCCCACAACACTTTAATTGATGCCACTATGTATCAAACAACCAGTTAACTAATTATCAACCATGTGTAATGAAATCTTCCATAGTTCAAATTTCTTTTCTTTGTTATGTTGGTTTTGTCATTCTACAAATGATGTATGTGTTTACAATAAGATTTAAGTTAAATATTATGTTGTTTTTTTTTAATTTTGCTTGGCTTAGCATTAGGATTGGGATCAGTAATAGTGTTTGGGTTAAACGTTTTTTTTCTAGTGCGTGCTACACAATGCTACCTTAGTACTAGCTACACTAACACCAACTAAATGTCGCGGTCAGCCTAAAGCTTACCTGTAACCTGACCAACGAGCGGCTGTTGTCCACGGGCAAGGTCAGCGTCACGCTGTTGTTGGTGGCGCTGGGGAACACGAAGACGGGGGCGTTGTCGTTGACGTCACGCACCAGGACGTGCACCTCCGCCTGGGAGCTCAGGGACGGACGTCCGTTGTCCGACGCTACGACGTTAAACGAGTACATGTCCTGCAGTTCGCGGTCTAAAGGCGCCAGTGTCCTGATGGTTCCGTTGGGCAGAATTTGAAATTTATCGTTTCCGGGTACCGGAAGAGAGAACTTGACCTGTCCACCTTCGTTGAGGTCAAGGTCGAAAGCCGCGACAGCCCCGACGAAGCTGCCGGCCGGAAGTCCTTCCTCGATGAAAAAAGTGTATTTGAGCTGGAAGAACTGCGGCGTGACGTCATTGACGTCTGTTACGGTTATGGTCACGGTGGCGGTCGCAGAGTTGGAGGGGGTTCCGCCGTCACGGGCCAGGATTTTAACCACGTGGGTGTCCTTGGTCTCGCGGTCAAGCACCCTGGCGCAGAGCAGGGCGTTGGAGCCGGGCGGGATGCGGAAAAACCCGTCGGAATCGTCTAGAAGACTGAAGGTAATTTTGGCGTTGTCCCCCGCGTCTTTATCCGTCGCTGTGATGAGCATGGCCACGTCGTTGACGGCGTTGTCCTCGGCGATGGCGATGTCTTTGTTGTCGTTGTCGAAAACCGGGCTGTTGTCGTTGACGTCGCCGACAACGACGTCGAACGTCTTGGTGGCGTTGAGGCGCGGGGTACCCGAGTCTTCGCAAAAAATCGTGACCTTGAACTCTGGGGTCTGCTCGCGGTCGAGTGGTTTGACCGCCACGACCATGTAATCGTGACCTTCGATGACCCGGAGGTCGAAGAACGAGCTCTGACTGTAGCAGGAAACGGCGCCGTTTTCGTTGGAGTCCGGGTCGGCCACTGACACATAGGCCACCATGGCATCTTGGCTGGAACCTTCGTAAACCAAAGCGCTGGACGAGTCGCCGTTCAAGGTGTCAATGGCAATAACCGGCGGGTCGTTCTCCGTGTCGATGACGGTCACCAGCACCTCCGTTTGGTTGATCTTCACGGGCGCACCCCCGTCCACCGCCTCCACGATGATGGTGTAGCTGCCACTGGTTAACGCGGCGTTGGCCGTCAACACCCCGGACCGCGTTCCCACCGCGAACATCTCGCGGATTTTAGCGTCCTGGTGCGCGCTGAGCCTGTAGGTGATGGCGGCGTTGACGCCGATGTCGTCGTCGGATGCCGTCAGCGGGAGGATCACGGCGCCCGGGGCTGTTTTCTCCCCGACCTGCACGCGGTACAGCTTCTGGGGGAAGTGGGGGGCGTTGTCGTTCTCATCCTCTACTTGTATCACCACGACAAGCGAGGCGTTGAGGGGCGGAGACCCCCCATCCCTCGCCACAACCACAAGCGTGTAGCTGCTCTCGGTCTCACGATCCAGCAAACGATTGACCACCAGATTCACGTCGCACGTGCCGTCAAGTTTTTTGAAGTACTCGATACTGAAAATAGAACTTGGAGGTTCGATACTATACGATTGAATCGAATTCTTCTCACCGCGATCCTCATCAGTAGCAGACGGGATTGCGAATTTCGCGCCTAAAGTAACAGACTCGGAAATTTTCAAGACGATTTTCGACTGGTTAAAGGTAGGGGCGTTATCGTTGATGTCAAGAAGATTCACCACGATCGTGTATTTCCGGATGTCGTTGCGTGAACGTGCGACAACCCGAAGGTCAAGGTGACACTGGTTCTCGAACCGGCAGAGCGCCTCGCGGTCCAGTCGGAGCTTGGCGAAGAGATCGCTGTTGTCCTTGTCTACCCTGAAGAGGGAACCATCTTCCCAGAGCATGATGCTGTACTGCAGCGTCTTGAAGACTTCCGGTGGGATCAGGGCCGCGAGGTTTAGGTCACGTGCTATGTTGCCGATAAACGTCCCTTCCGGTTCTTCCTCGAGAAAATTGTAAATCTTGTCTTGTCCGTTAGATGGTCGTACCAGCAGTAAACATAAGCATAAAAGTACGTTTAAAAATAAATTCTCGAAAATGTTGAAACTTAGCCACAAAGCCATGTTTATCAGCAGTTCAAACAATAGACACCAATGCAAAGTACAAAAGTTGTCGTTCTTGCTAAATAAAATACGTAGTAGTTATCCTTCTTCAAGTTAGATGTTGGATGGTCTATAATATTAAGATATTGCTTAGCATTTAAAGCATCTTGGTTTGGTGATGTTTTTCATCTGAAAAAAAGGATAAGAGTAGGGTTATTTATTGTTGAATGCAAGGACAAGAAAGAGGGGTAAATAAAAATTAAATATGCGCTTTAAAATAACGGATCAAAATATTAACATTCAATTAATGTAAATGAAAGTCAAGCAAAATAACAATCGTGGATACCACAATAAGCAAGAGTTTTAAAACATTTTTTTAATCAGCAGTAAAAATGAAACCTGCCACAGATAAATATTAAATAAGGTAAATAAAATATTCATTATAAATGACTATTTGTTGTCTCATTAAAAATCTAGATGATCATGCACATAATTAATTAATTAAATTTTTTTTTTACTTTTAACTTTTTACAACACGCCAACACATTTTAAAAGAAATGTGCTGATCCCCGTTAAAACACGATGGTCTACACTTTTTTACGAGGACCTGGCCAACGCAGACGTGAAAGTGTCTGTTGACAGTTTGTACTCATTGATCTATCTTGATCAGCCCGGTCACGTATAGTCTATTTATCATGGTCAACCTTGGTCCATCGGTCTAGGTGTAGTAGTCTCGCTTCACTAGTCCGAGTGATCATTAACACAAAGTGAAATGTGAAATTATTATTTTCAAAAAGTCACTTTATTCAAATATGTTAGCTTAAATAAATATTTATTAAAAATTATTTCGAGTAAAAGTCGTTATTGTCTGATCTAAATCTAATACGTATAGCAGATTAAAAAAATTAATCTTATCTTTAAAAGAAATAAACACAACTAAAGATGTTTCGAACTTAGGTCTCCGTCAGAACAAATAAAGAAAAAAGAAAATAATAACCTATAATTTATTTACAATGCACAACTTACATTTACTAGAGTGAAATTGTAACCACATCCATAAAACACATCCAGAAATTTATAATCGTGAAGATTTATAAATAAATAAATATACCCTGATAGCTTCAGTGGAAAAAAAAACTGGATTAAGATGACAATATGTACAGCGTGAGTTAACTCACCTCCTGCATAGACCCACACCGAATGACGAAAACATGGAATTAATACACTGTTATAACACACGCTTGTAAGAATGCCAAACATTTTCCCCGCATACCAAAACACTCGCGGGAAAAGAAAAAGTCAACAGTTTTAAAAGAAACAAATAAGTTACAACAATGTTAATCCTAGCTTGCCGCTTGCCTCTATATTACGCGTAAGACAAAACTTGTGTTGACATAAATGTTTGCACGGACACGAAATGGTGTTTGTCTGATCAACTGTTCGGGATTAACGGACAGGGACCAGTTCGACGCACGAGACAACAGGTAGATGTGGGACCTAAACCCGCCCATAATGACCAGCTGTCATTCTTGTCCAGACGACTTCAGAGTTGTCTGTTCCTCTCGATCTTAGCAGTCCATCAATGTCGAAAACGCGCTGCGCGTTTCTCGCTGGGTTTTTTTTCTCCCACCTAAGTAATAGTATCTATAGTTTAAGATACAGTTAGCTGCAATGATAGTACACTAGAGTCAATTCAGTTTGTCTTCCTGTATTTGTGCTGATATTTTTAATTTGGAACATTAATTTTAAAATTATTAAATAAAACTAGTCGCTGACTTTTTTTTAATTTGAATCATGAAATTTTAAAATAATAAAATATAAATAGTCGCTTGGGATGACCAATAATATTCTGTTATGGCGAGGTCACTGACCTAAACGACAGTGTGGTAATTTTTCTGACCAAAGATATTTATTAATTATTTAATCAGTCTTTCTGACCAACAATGTTTAGTATTGTGTGGTCACATTAACATAAAAATGGAACAATCGTGTGGTCTTTTTGATCTAGGTTCAACAATCGTGTGGTCTTTTTCATCCATGTACACAGAACAAGTAGTCATTTCGATCCAAGTTTATCAATAGTGTGGTTGTTTTGGCCAATATTCAAACATCCTGTGGTCATTTTGTCCAGTGATTAAAGATTGTGTCTTCATTTTGGCCAAAATTGAATGATCGTGTGGTTATTTTAATCCCTTTTCAATGATAGTATTACACCATCGATAAAAAAAAAAACACGACTTTATGTAAGATACATAAAGTTTCAGCAGCACCTAAATTTAAACAACATTTTTTGTGCACCATTTATTTTACAAGACACAATGATCGGACAGAGAATAATAACGTCCTAATGTCTAATGTCACGTGATCATGAGCTGTGATGAGGACGTTACAACAGCCAGACGAGACCGTGGTACAAGATGGGTGATTGATGACAAGGTGCTGGAAACTGGGGTGACGAGGTGGGAATGGGGGGGGGGGGCTTTTGAAATTACCAAATGCTGTTTTTATTTTATTTATTAAGGGGGGGGGGGGAGTAAAGCATTACCTGAAATTACAAGAAAAAGTCGCTTGGCCTTACCCCCCCCCCCTCCCGCCCCTTAGACCCACATAATGTATATGACCATTAGAAAACTATAGCGACCATTCTGACATACCAAACCCAAAATGTCCCTTTAACACATTTGCTGTGTATTACTCATACATGAAAACTCTAAACTGTCCGGACAAACGTATAATTTTCACATTAAATTCAGCTAAATCATTGAATGTTTTTATGTTTTACATTGAAATACTCCCGAGAACGTTTTTTTTTAGATTGAATAAAATAACATAAAAAAAACCCAGGCGGGATATTAATGTGAAGAGTTTGGCAGTTAATGGGTTAAAATGGAGAAAACCAGCCCTTAAAGAACGCGGGGTCCGCTAACCCTCACAGCATTCCCCGGGTGTCGTAACAGATTCCTGTGGTTCACGCTTTCATCGCCCGCCCCACGGTCCAACAATTGGATCAAATAAAGGTGGACGTCGCCCGGTCACGTCCCCCTACGTGATACTGACCGGCCCGGCGGGGATTCGAACATTAATCCCGGTGCGGTAATCACAAATAGCCGTATCGGAGACGATTGGAGTGACCATTAGCTGGACGTGCCCAGCGTGTTTGACCACCCCGTTTGGTTGAAATGGCTTGAACCTAGCCGGCCATACAGTTTGGTGAATTGTATGTAACAGCAGGGGTTGTTGGGGGGGGGGTCATCAAAATGGTGTACCTATGCTGAAAAAAAAAGGGGGGGGGTCATCAAAATGGTGTACCTATGCTGAAAAGGGGGGGGGGGGGTCATCAAAATGGTGTACCGATGCTGAAAGGGGAGGGGGCTTATAGGCATGTATGTGCAAATTGTAATGCTAAATCGGTGGACGGACTTTTAGAATTCGTTCGTGCTAGAATTTTTATTCAAGGAATTTTTATTTTTCGTGTCCGAATAGGTCTAGGAAGTTTATTTGTAGAAACTACTTTAAGCAAATTATGTATTCACCCCCCCCCCCCCCCACCCTCTTGTGTTGTCAGAACGCTATATGATTTTAAGAAAATAGACGACTTTTTTTTAATACAAGCAACGATGTATAAGAATGAATTACCAAAGAATGAATTACCGACCTTTGACCTGTACGATGAATAGCATAAACAATAGGACAATGAGGTATTTTCTCGTGGTGAACAAAAGAAGCTTAACACCGTCAATTGTCTCACCTTAAGTATGCTATAGAGTAGTATATAGCCTACTATATTGGTAACTTTAATGTACTTTTTTCGATAACTCTTGACCAAAACTGAATATGAATATGCGACCGTAGATACACCTACCACAAACATATTTTCACAAAACAATCTAAAACATTTTGTTTAAATAACACCTTCATATGACAAACCGCTGCACTGTACATTATTTCGTAAACTAACGTTAAAAGTAAAATAACTATAATTTACAATGTCTCAAACATTGTAGACATTTCACAGGTATTAGATTAATAGCAACTCAACCAACGAGCCCAAGAGACTTAACTTGCTAATGACACACCGTGTCGTTGGATCGCTTTACCTTGGCCGAGGGAGGTAGTAAAGATACAGTGAATACAAGACAATACAAATGGCCCGCAGTAAGATGGAGAAGTTTGATCGCTGTGTCATCGGCGATTCATCAATCTACTGTACAGTCTTTCACGGTTATTGCTGGTGGGGGGGGGGGGGGGGAAGTCTACGTGGGTGGGGAGGAGGGGGGCAGCGAACTGTATAAGTGAACTTTTTCAAGTATAGTATCAATATGACTATGTATGTATATATTTATGTATATAAATATTTACGTATATATATATATATATATATATATATATATATATATATATATATATATATATATATATATATATATATATATATATATATATATATCTGCCCTGTCTAATTTATAACTATTTGTGTTGAAAAACACTCTTTCTCCTTTACAGACACAGTAAATAGCGTTTTAGCTTTGTCGCATTTATTTAACCTAAGCTCTCCGTATTTTCAAACAAACCAACCTAGGTCGTCCGTGTGGTAAAGCGCACTACCACAATTTAAAAACAAAAACACATCACAGCACAGAGCAGAGGCTAGAGTTGCCTTGACCTTGTAGGTGAGTACTCCTAACATACTGTCAAAATACATGTGAGTGTTAAACGTGACGTGTACAGCGCCAATCAAAGTTATCAGTGGTCTTATTGTTTAACACAACTCAAACACCGTGGTTAGACTCAGCGGTGTGGACGCTAGGCGGCGCTGCTTGCTGCTCGATTTCTGATTGGATGATTATAATCCATTTAGCGGATCAAAGGATTAATCAACGGGGTTAATTACAGACGATAACAAGGAACCTGAGGTGTTAATTAAGACGGGTCTGGGGACGAGTTAGGAGAACCCCTGAAGGATCTAGGCCTACTTGCTCATGCTTGCCTATACTTGCTTATACTTGTTGGGAAATCTCAAA